ATTGGCTCAGGAATAAAGAATCAAACAAATTGGACAATACCTTGTGTTTAATTAATGTATCACTGTAGACTGTCACGCTCGCGGGTAGGGCAAGCAGGAAGCAGGCGAGCGTAGCCAGGTAGTCAGGGTAACGGGGTTTAATAGAAGGCAGACGTACAGGCACGAACATCAACGGACACTACACAATGACTGATCTGGGGATGACTGACTCTGACAAGGACTAAATACCCTAGACAAGCCGAGGGAAACGAACAACAGGTGAGATCCATCAGGGAAGAACACGAGGTAATGAGGGGGGCGTGGCACACATCGGGAGCGGACGGAGTGGGGCGTGACAGAGAGCACTTGTGTCTTGTAGTTTCTTCACTTCGCCACAGTCATTTGACAACTGTGTTGCATGCATGTGTTTACGCTGGAGGCATCTCTATATATTACATACTGTAGGTGTTTGTCTCAAGAATGTGGTTGTCTGGCATTTTCTCTGTGTCTGCAGGTTCTTGTGACGGATCCTCTGGGGAAGCCAGTAGGTGGGGTAGCAGTGAAAGTACGTGTTTTGATGACCAAAAATGATGGAGAAGAGGGCCTGTTGAAAAACTCCGGAAGGCAAGAGGGTCATGGGCAGACGAGGAACAAAGATGGCACCACAAACTTTGTTTACAATATACCCTCTGACTGCAAATCTGCTGTTTTTACTGTAAGAAAACAATGTCTTCTCGTGTAAAACGCTTAATTGTACTTTTTGTATCTCACAACTTGACATGCTTGCATATACTTCTGTCCTAAATTTAGCATTGTAAAACACTGTATGACTACTTTATAATCATGAACCACTTGTTCAAACCTAATATATGTATATGTCTATCTGTGTGCCTTTTGTTTCAGCTGGAGACTGCTGACCAGAATCTGCCTCCCAACAACCAGGCTGTATTAAGACATGAAACTGTAGCCTATCATTCTATCAACAAGCGCTATCTTTACATTGACTGGGCTTCTCACTATCAGGAGTTGACCGTGGGAGACTGGGCCAGCATTAATATCTACTTCCAGCATTATAGCAATATCCCACTCGAATCCTTCAGCTACCAGGTAATTAAATGCCAAGTTCAGGATATCTTATTTCCCCTGATTACATTTCTCTAACCCTTCTTACAGAGTACAATTTCTCCTTTATTTCTTCATTCTCCTCTAATAGGTTATTTCTAAGGGAAAGATTGTGAAGTTCGATACTGTTCCTCGTCACACTGGAACCACCTTCCAGCCCATCAACTTTAAGGTGATGTCGGACATGGTTCCTTCTGCCCGGCTGCTGGTCTATTACATCATGACTGGGGAAACCACGGCTGAGCTTGTAGCAGACTCCGTGTGGATGGGAGTGAAAGATAAATGTATCAATGATCTCCAGGTAAATACCCACAGTTTTAACTTCATACCAAGAAGGCAAGTCAGCAGGCCATGAAATGCTCTCTTTTTGTTTTCTGCTTCGATTCCCAGGTGAAGCTCTCAGCTCCTCTACGGGAATACAGTCCCCAGGATAACCTTGATCTGCAGGTGGAGGCGAGATTTAACTCCCTCGTAGCGCTGTCCTCAGTTGACACCGCTGTCTACAATCTCAGAGCTCCCAGTAAAGACCCTCTGGCCACGGTGAGGTTCTCATCATCCTGTCCCACCCACTGCAGATCATTTAAGCGGGGGCCAGGTGAGGTCAGGGGGTCAGCGCCTTGATTCACCTGCAGCTAGTTACTAATTATTAATGATATAAAGGGAGTTTTCTTCTCATGAATGGAAAGCAGTAGGGGTGGTGTGGTGCTGCACTCTTGCCTGACACCTCTGGGACGTTCAAGTCCCCACCATGGCTCCATGTGTGGAGTTTGCATGTTGTCATGGTGTCACCATGCGGTTTCCTCCTTGTACTCTGGGTCCCCCAATCCCCTACAGTACAGAAACACACTAAAGTTAATTGGATGAGTGAATGGTGTGTGTGTGTCTGTGTGTGTGTGTGAGTGTGTGTGTGTGTGTCTGTGTGAGTGTGTGTGTCTGTGTGTGTGTGTGTGTGTGTCTGTGTGTGTGTCTGTGTGTGTGTGTGTGTGAGTGTGTCTGTGTGTGTGAGTGTGTGTCTGTGTGTGTGTG